CAGATTCAAAGTTGAACCTACCTAACAAGATAATTTGTCTCAGGTACATAGTAAGTTGGGAAAAGCATGGACCAATAATTCAAGACGAATGCTAATCGCGGTACAATACATCGTAGTACTAGTCACGTCTTTAGTACGTATTGGATTAGTAGCAGTAGAGCTATTTCTGAAAAGGTTCGTTCGGGGTAGTACTGCCACCTGGCCTATTTCTGCTTTTCTTATTATTTTCTACTTGTCAAATTTATTTGAAAATAAAAGGGAATAATCTCGGTACAGAGCACTAAAAAACCGATCTAAAATGTACGTGGAATTACATATAATTACCAAGTTTTATTGAAATTGGTTTCCGGAAAGTGCGCAAACCCGGATTCATCCCCTAGTTCTCCACTATACGGGACCTGATACAGAAGATAATAAAAATCGGTTCTCACTACTCAAAGTATATTGAGAGAGAAAAACGCCTTGAATTGGAGAATAGCAAAATCAACCATTGAAATAATTGCTCCTTATAATAAAATTTAGGCGCTATTTATAAAAATGGATCTTAAAAACAGCCACCCTTTGAGGTGGATAATTTTCTTCAAAATTAAATGGGACCACTATGGAGGTACTTTCCAAAAAAAAAGAATAATGAAAATCGGTTCACAAATAACGGAGTTTTCGCGTAACATGCATACAAAAAAAACATACAGTCGAATTGAGAACCTCCTCTTCTTTTTGAAGTCGGTTAAAAATAATTTCATATTTTTGAGTAAAGACTGTTTTGTTCAGAATTATAAGCTTGACTCATTTCGAGCTAAGCGGAGTTCCTTTAATTGTTTCTTACTATATATCAACGACGGTCTTATTGACCTGTAGAGAATAAAATTTTACATTCAGCGATAGAATAATCTTGAATTTCACATATATTGAATTGCAACACTATTGTAATAGCAGTGCGATGTAATAATTAATTTTCAAAGTTATTAAATGTTGATATAACATGTAAGTACCTTTTCACCATCGTCCATAATACTTTTAATGCATAATTAAAACTGACAATGCGCAACTTGGGGGAGCTGCAAAAATCTCATCTACATTGTCCAATGTCTAGACAGTAGCATTCAATTTGCCTACGATCGCGTTGGCCTAGTCTCAACCAAAATCCGCGCTTCGTCGTGTGGAGGGGGTGGGAGAGGGGGAGGGGGAGAACTTAGCTCCACACATGTGCTGGATGCGTTCCGGTGCGTAAAGCCGATCCCCGATCCCCGAAAAAAATAAATAGCTCGACCAAGAATTATTACAGGCTTTGTGTTGCATGAGTTTTTACAACGCTCTGGCAAACGAGTTATGATATCCACAAAAAGTGTCAGAAATATTTCAAGGTCGTAGGTTATGTAAGGTCACTAGCAAAATATTTCAACATTTCGGCAAAAGTGACTTCATTAAAGCTGTTCGGATGTTTGCAAATCACGTTTTCCGGCTTCGCAAATCAGAAGGCCCGGTGACGAAGCTATTCAAATTAACTTTGACACGAAGCTCTTCGAATGTTTGATTCGTTAAAACGATGTAACGGCTACATAATATGAATGTGCACCTTTATTTATTTTTTAAGGTTCCACTTAAATATGTGAAAACTCGACTTACGCGTTAGTTTAGTTAAAATTGGTAACTCAGTAAAGAAAAAGATAATTCATCAATACCTTTCTGTGTTGCTTGAAAATGTTAGATTATGTCCGGAAGTGATTTGTTTATGATAAGCATCGAGTATATAACCAGAAATAGAGACGAAATGTCGTTTATTTTGTTTGAAAACTATTCTGCCAAATCATTACAGTGACAACTTCGCTCCAATTGACCAGCACGATTTCGACCATATACCATATACCCTCGCCTCTGGCTCGGATCAAGAAGCCTCGAGACTCGTGATTAATGACAAATCCGCACGTGTATCAAACGACGTTTTTTAATACATTTGCGAAAAAACTACATTGAAAGTAAAATAAAACAGTGTTATTACGCAATATATAAATACAAATACAAATATACAAAAATATAAAAGTTCCGGTATTTGTAGAAAGAAATGTTCGCGTTATTCCTTAGTTTACTTATATTAACTCGCTCAATTTTGAGCACTGGTTATAAGATTCCGGTTGATATTTTCAATTAGTCATTCACGAGATTTATAAACTATAGTGAAACAATAATCTCAATATAGAGTACTAAAAAGCCGACCTCAAAAGTACGTGGAATTACGGCTATTTGCTAAGTTTTATTGGAATATCCCCTAGTTCGCCACTATACAGGACTTGACACTGGAGCTAATAAAAATCGGTTCGCACTATGACACTACTCAAAGTATATTGAGAGAAAAACGCCTTGTATGGGAGAAATAGCAAAATCAACCATTAAAGTAATTGCTCCTAAATTAAAGTTAGGCGCTATTTATAAAAATGAATCTTCATGCGTGAACAGCCATCCTTCGAGGTGGATGATTTTCTTCAAAATAAAATGGGAGCACTATGGAAGTACCCCCTTTATAACAAAATAAGAATCATGAAAATCGGTTCACAAGTACCGGAGTTATCGCGTAACATACATACAAAAGAAAAGAAAAAAGAACATACAGTCGAATTGAGAACCTCCTCCTTTTTGGAAGTCGGTTAAAAACTTTATACTAAAAGTTATTATACGGCTTCTACGTACTTGAATGTCAGAAATCCGTGGTAGTGATCCATTTTGGCTCTGGCAGGTAGCCTCAATCGAAGATGGCTGAATTAATTATTGTACTTAAATAGTTAATGAGTACATTCCGTGGTTTGAAAACTGTACGCTGAATGAATAGACTCAGTGTTGTGAAAACTCTGAGGTTGCGCTCTACGCACATTATTTTTTTACGATATCAAGTCAGGAGACGAACAAGTCGTGGATCTGGCGACACGCCTGTCCATAACAGTTCATAAAGATCTGATGGGCTTGCCACTGCGCCCGTCACCCTTAGACATAAGATGCCCAGTCCCGTGTGCTTGTAATTTCATCAGCACCCTTACCCTTCAAAACTGGCACGCAGTAATACTCACATTACGGCTTGGCGGCAGAAATAGGTAAGGTGGTATCTATATATATAGATAAGTGGTATATATATTTATCTGGACGGACTCTTTCACAAATAGCTCTACTGTTTCTAAAATATACAATGAATGTTTTCTATCTTCCCGTCCACCGGTTTGCGCAGGCCCTATAAACCGAGTAAGCAGAACTTACGGATTTCTTTGTATTTGTTACAGATCTTTATATTGTGCTTTTTTAATATTTCGCCGGTGAACAGAACGTGGAAATCAACTTTTCTAAATATTGCGATTTATAAAAGTTCGATTTCCAGATTGGTCCTAACTTGGGACCTCCCACAGCGTCCACAGTTCATATTGTTGTTGGACCGCGGAGGTCGACAGTCTGATGTAAACTTAATAGGCAACATCAAGTTTCAATAGCAAAAGGTCGTGATCTGATAATTTTGGGCAATCCGTCTTACGTCGACGTTTTGCTGGTCATTAGTTTCAATATGTTATGGAGAGAAACAAATAATGTTGGTCTCAAATGAGACGTAAATTCTACAAGTCACAGACGAACAAACAAAATGTAATTAATCACTTAGTTTAGATCCAATGTTAATCTTGAGGGCGGAGATAATCGTTTTTAGGTAAAATTGCATCAACTAAAATACGACAAGTAATTCATTTTGTAGAAAAAATTGTGTTAGACTCAATAGTATCGTTACTACAGATCTACAGTAAATATTAATTTTTGTAATAGTAAAGCTCTTGATATAATCGATAGTTTCATCTATATCGATAGTTACTACTCTGAGAGTGTTGGATTCCATAGCGTCGATACTATGGAGAACATATCGAGTTCTTAGGTTTTCGCGATTGTTACACATAGGAAATGAAACTATTTTTCCGGATTTAAGTCGCGTATATTTGTTTTTTCAAACAAACCGACGTTTCGGGCCCTTTACAGGTCCCATGGTCACGGTTGACTGAGGTGGTACAGTCTTCAACCAGTTATGTCTAATATTGATGCAAACCACCCTATTTTTTCACTATAGTTACAATAGTTATTAATTAAATACCTTATTTTTAATTTTACAAAGAAAACTAATATATAAAAAAGAATATATTAAGTTTTACAAATTATTTTATTGGATGAATTTTTATTAAGTTCAATTTATTTTAATTATTAATAGAAATTAGAATAAACTAAACTAAAAAACTGTTTCCGAAAAAGGGCCCGAAACGTCGGTTTGTTTGAAAAAACAAATATACGCGATTTTAATCCGAAAAAATAGTTTCATTTCTTATAATACGTAGAACAGTCAATAGTATTAGTCGATCTGTGATATCAATAGTATCGATACTCTCGAAAGCTCTGTTGTTACTAGGTTCCAAGGTAGTCCAATTATCGGTATTTTATACAGGTATAAGAAGAGGAAATTATGTAGAATAAGTACTTTATAAATATAGCCTACCGCATTTTGTTGAAAGTTTCTTGTTAACATTGTAACGTCATATATGAAAGGTCAAACTAAAGACTTTTAAGGACATCCAAATTATTTTTCAGCGATGTTATTGTAGACTTTATTTGAATTCAATTACAGTGGAAATCAAATCTGCTATTCAAAGAGATTTATTTTACATAATATGGGTTTGAATTTCAGTGATTTATTAATATTTTGTTTTTCGGAAAGTATACTTGGTACTTGATGTACCTAATGCGCTGGTGTCCGCAATTCGGAAGGTATAATTTTGACTTCATGCACTTTTTATGACTTCTGCAATTTGAAACGTCACAGTCTCTTATTTATAGAACAAGACCAATTTTATACAATCTTCTCTACAATGTACGTCTTCTTACAGACGGTGCTGGGCGCTCTACCTCTAGCAGTGGCGGCCGTGAACAGAGAGCCGAGTCTTTTGCCAGGCGTGAAGCTGCGGTTCGTCGCCGCCGACATCGGGCGCTGGAGACCTTCGTTGCATATGGACAAAGATAGCCTCTCTCTAAGGTGACTTACTGACATTGTCTTTTTAATTGTTTGTCATAGCAATAATCATCATCATCATCATCATCATCAGAAAATATACAGTATGTTGATTTGCATTCTCGCCATATTTAAGAAATTAATAACAGAAATAATGCTAAATCATCTAAAAATAGTAAAAAAAAAATCTGTTCAATATTCTGGCTAATTATATCAAGTTTTGCAAAATTGTCTGTAAATTGTATGCACCGCGCGCGGGCAGTGACCCTGCCACCTGCTTCACTAATTAGAAAAGTATTTTGTATCTTAGATTTGGTACTTCCCAACTTTATAGGTTAGATGAAAGTATTGCTAGCAAGTGTCCACCACCACCGGCTGTGCATAGATTCGCATGTTGTCGAGAGTTTTATTTCAACTTTCTGATCACTAGCACATTTGATTTCACAAGTTTGAAAGCAGAGACGAGTTTTCGACAATCGTAATCTCCTTTGCATAAACTAAATGTTTCACATCTCTCCACAAGTAATAGTCACGCACTTACCGTTCATAATGAGCACTACTTGATGGTAATGCAGGTTTTGTTGAACTTGGTAGCGGTTCTTTGCTCTAACTCTTGTTTATATTACAAACCACGCGGCCTTTCGCGAGAGACTAGAATTGCGGCGGGCTCGAGCTAGTCTGTTCCACTTATTCCAGTGCGTGAGCGAGCGCGATGAGCGGGCGCTTAATGCGTTTGAGAAAGAGATAGCAACACTTTGGCGGTTCTTTTGTTGGCTCGCTGCGCTATAAGTTTTGGTAGCACGTGCCGTGCAAGTTCACGACTTTTGGATCAAGTGATTGCAAATGGTTATTTACCGCAATTAAATAAAAATCTGAATTTATGACATTTTTTGCGATTTAATTTTTAGTAATTTGGGTTTAGTTTTGGAGATAGAATGACCTCTGTAAATATGGCTAGAATGCAAACCACCACATAAATAGGTGTGTATATATTAGGTTTGTTGTTATATATATATATATATGATTTATATATTAGTAGCAGTAGAGCTCCTTGTTAAAGAGTTCGTCCAGGGAAGTACTGCCACCTTACATTATCTATTTTTGCCGCCAAGATGTAATGCGAGTATTAATTGACAAATGTAATGTCATCTGCCTTGCCGTCCGCTGGTTTGCGCTGGCCTTTAGTGTAACAAGGGCACATCTGTAAAATGACAACTTTTCAGGAAACAGATTTTAGGGTTCTACGAACAAAATTTGTTGGTAACTTATGCTTAAATATCACAGTTGTAAAATTTCAAATGTTGTCGGTGTTTTGTAGAAAAGGTGTAAGCGCGATTTCGTAAAAAAATTCAGAGGAGCTTGTTGCAGGTTTTCACGATTAGTTTGCTTTCTAGTTTTAAAATTGAGTTTAAAACTTAAGCTGTGCACTTTCTACAAAATTCAAAACTATATATATTTAATTTGTGTTATGCAATTCATATTATTTTTATGACTTTCAAGTGACAAAATCACCTTTAACGGTTTTTTTTTTCTTTTAAACAAAAATATTATCTAACTTCTTGTCGTGCACATGTAATTTCTGTGACAATACCCATCACATGATGATACACATGGAATAAGTATACATAAAGAATATTTTAATAACTGAAATGTTCCTTGTACAGAGTGATGACCCAAATGCGTGACCTGGGAGTGGTGGCGTTCTTCGGCCCTGACGGAACCTGTCACACCGAGGCCAAGCTGGCTGCGGCGTGGAATCTGCCTCTTATCTCACACGTGAGTACAATATCATGGATTTGTTTTTAGTACTTTAAAATGAAACTAATTAAGGGTCTAATTTGTGTACATCCAAATAAGTTCCAGCTGCTCGTTAGAAAATGTGGGTTAGATACGCCATACGCCTACGCCAAATACTTAACCATATCGTTCCTTTGAGTAATAAAATAACAAAATTCAAAAAATGGCATTTTCAGAAACGGACACAATAAATAAAAAATAACGGTCAAAATAAAACTATTTGACGAATAAAATTTTTATTTTTGTATGATAGTCAAATGTAATGAACTATTACAAGTCATGGAACAAAAGTTGTTGTTTATGATGTTAGTAATATAGTCCTGCGGGGTTAGTATTTTACGAATAACCTGTCTACTCGCGTCCACAAGCATCTCGCGAGACTAAAATTTGCTTGTAAATCCCGCTGTAAGCGTCCAGTAACTTCGGCTGTTCCGAATCATTCTTCAAATCATTCTTATAAGAAGTCTATCAATATTTAAAAAAAATGTCAATAATTTTTTCGCCCCATTCAATGAAATCATTCTCATAAGAGGCTGACTTTATCAGCATTAAAAAAATGGTCAATTTTATTAATTTTTTAAGAAAAACATTTAACGAAATTTGGCCAAATTCTGCTGTCCCGATTTTTTTCCTCATATACAATGAAATCTCTTCATGAAGCTAAGTGGATCAGCACTAAAAAAAAAAATTGATCAATTTTATTCATTTTTCAAAAAATCTACTAAGGCAAAATTGATTTCACAAAAAAAAAGACTAGTTCCTAAGACAGTTTCCATGTATCTTCTATGGTTTCGGATTTATCTATATCAACATTCTCATTAAAAAAAAAAACACTCTGTATAAAGTAATTTTGATTTTTATATTTTGGTTGTATATATGGGCGCGCTTACAAA